AAAAAAAAAAAAAAGGGGGGGGTGTTGGAAAAGTCCCCAGCAGCAGCTTTTTCTCATTTTGGGCCCTGTTGTCACAACCAGAAGGCAGGGCACGGAAGAGCCACCAGGGCCGGGTTCCAGGGAGCAGCACCGTCTGTTGTTGTTGTTGTTGTTGTTGTTGTTGTTGCTGTTGTTGTTGTTGTTGTTGTTGTCGGGTTTGGGGCTGCCATTGCCCCGCAGACAATTCCAATCTGCTCTGAAACCGAGGCGATCTCAACTTGGAGATATGTCTGCCTGCCTGCCTTGAATTGGGACACTGAGAGGCCATCCCCACTGCAGAAATAATCAGGTTTGACATCGCCGTCAGTGGTATGGCTCAATGCTATGGAATTGTAGGGGGGTTGCAGACTGCCAGAAATAGTGCAAATTCAATCCACTTTTAGGGTTAGGGTTAGTGCTAGGGAATAATGGGAATTGGTTTTTTTCTGAGATATTGAGCCTTCTCTGTCAGAGAGCTCTGGTGCCACAATAAAATACAGTTCCCATGATTCCCTAAGCCTAAGCCTAACCCTAAAAGTGGACTGAATTTGCACTATTTCTGGCAGTCTGCAACCCCCCGTAGTCTACAACTACAATTCCCAGAATTCCATAGCACTGAGCCACACCAGTTAAAGCGATGTCAAACCGGACTATTTCTATAGTAGGGATGCAGCCTGAGAAAGAGCTCGAAATCTTTCTCCTTTCAGCGCACTTGTAGGAGGAAACCATCGTGGGAAATGATCCCAGGAGAGAGAGAGTACCTACCCACGTTTCCCGAGCCTGGTTCTGAATCTGGGGAGGACTGGGTTCGAGTTCCGTTTCAGATCAATCCAGGCGGCTGCAAGGCCTTCGCTGAAGGGAAGGAAATACGGTGCCGCTCTGTGTGTATGTTGTGTGCTTTTGGGTTCGCGCCTGCTTAGTTTGTTTAAGAGGATGGGGCCCGACCGGCCTCAACTGGTTGCAGAGGTGGGCTGAGGGGGGAGAGATCTAGTCCCTTGCGAGGGTCCTTGAGACTCCCCCTTAGCTGGTGAAACTGGGCCCCTCCATTCCTTTGCTTGGAGGGATCGTGTCCCTCAGGTTTATGTGGGTCTGGGTTCCAATGAGCCTTCTTTCCGGCCGGCTTCTGCCTGAGGGGAATCCTCGCACCCAGAACCTCCCCAGGGCCCCGGGTGCCAGAGGACGAGGAAGGGGAAGCAGGATCCCACGAGAAACCGTGGGGCTTCCTGCCCTTCCTTCCACCAGAGCTTTCGTCCGGTGGTTGTGAGTGGCTCCGGTGGGTCCGCAGTGGCCGTCCCCTTCCTCTGGGACGCCCGAGGCCTTTGCCAAGGGAAGCCCAGCCGACCTACCAGGCGGAAGTCTTGAGCCCCCCCCCCCCCAAGCCCTGGCCAGGCGAGGCCGAGGGTCTGGGGCGCTTGAAATCCCTGTCCCCTCTGAGTGTTTGTGTGTCTTCCTACCGACTGATGGCGACCCCACAGAGTTTTCTTAGACCAGGAAGCCTCCTCAGCCCTCCTTATCCACAGATTTGTTTAACCCACGGATTCAAGCATCCACAGCCTGAAAATATTCAAAAATATATAACTTCCAAATAGCAAGCCTTGCTTTTGCTCTTTTATAGAAGGGACACCATTTCACTATGCCATTGGATATAATGGGACTTGAGCATCCACGGATTTTGGTAGCCATGAGAGGGTCCTGGGACCAAACCCCAGCGGATACCAAGGGCCCATTGTAGTCAGAGGTGGCTTTCCCAGTTCCTTCCTCTGAAACCCATGCTACAGCACCTGGTATTCGTTGGGGGGGGGGGTCCCATCCAATCCTAGCCAGGGCTGACCCTGTTTAGACAGGATCTGATGTCTTTTAGGGCAAATTACTGTGTCTAGGGTGGGGAAGAGGACTAGAGCTTCCCAGCTTCCTCCGCGATAGTGGCCTTAGGAGTTCGCCTCCATCATATTGAGGGCCACCTCCAAGGCAGGGCCGCCTAGTTCCCGAACCCTTTCCATTCAAGGGCAAAGCCACGTTAGTAGTCCTCAGTCTCTCTTCCTCCAAGAGAGCCACTGTGTTGTAGTGGTCTGAGGGTTGGACTGTGACTCTGGAGACCAGGGTTCGAATCCCCGCTCGGCCATGAAAACTCCCTGGGTGACCCTGGGCAAGTCACACTCTCTCCGCCTCAGAGGATGGGAATGGCAATCCCTGCTTGAAGAAACTTGCCAAGAAAATTCCCAGAATTCCATAGCATTGAGCCATACCACTGAAGGATGTGTGATAGGCTTGCACACTACAATAGCAACAACACTTCTCTTCCTCCTAGGGAGACCAAGGCCTGGCTCCTGTTGGTAGTCCGAACTGGAGCAGGATCAAGAGGAAGAGCGGCCCATTCAGCAGCAAATCCCATGGGTCTGCCCTGGTCAGGACTAACCCAAGAGGCCCAGGAGGCTTTTGAGGGACACTTCTCAGGGCTTGAGACCCATCCAATTGCCCGGGACCTACCTTTTGTTCCAAAAATGGGCTCCTCTGGGCCGCTTCCCTGCCCTTATTTCCAAAAAAGGCCTCTTACTTCACTTGGGGAGCATCTGGTAGGTCTTATAAACTCCTAAAGTAGCGACTCTCTTGTCTTGGGAGTCACACCTTCACAGGCTTTTTGCTGAAGGGATTGTTGCTTGACCTTGGGTGAGTCTCACTCTCTCAGCCTCAGAGGAGTCCCATGACAAACCTCCTCTGGAGGAACTTGCCAAGAAAACCCCTCGATTGGTTTACGCTTTAGGGTCGCCATAAGTCGGAAACGACTTGAAGGCACACAACAAGAAGCCCCCTCGAACCCCATGGGACTTTCTCCAGGGTAATCTCCCTCAGGGATGGGTTCTGCGCTCCTCAGGCGGCTTAATTCGGGGATCGGCCCCCGGAAAGCCTTTAGACTCGGGGAGGTGGATCTCCAGGGTTTTCCCTTCCAAGGGATCGGTGCCGGGGAAGAATCGCTCCGGATCCGCGGGATTTCTTTCTAAACCCGGATGGGTGGCCTTTTGGGAATCCAGCCTAGGCTTTGGTTTTGGAGGGGGGCGGCTGGAAAGTTGGTTTTTAGAGTCCCCCCCC